GTAGAAGTTCACCAGGATGGCTGAAGACAGCTGGTTCTTCTTCAGTGTCCTCAGGAAGAAGAGGCACTGGTGAGCCTTCTTAATCAAGCTGCAGGTGTTGGTGGTCCAGGACAGATCCTCTGAGATGTGCGTCCCCAGGAATTTGAAGCTGGAGACACGTTCAACAACCATCCCGTTAATATAGATGGGGTTGTGTGTGTGCCTCCTTTCTCCCTCCTGTAGTCCACAATGAGCTCCTTGGTCTTGTTAGCGTTAAGGAGCAGGTTATTGTCAGCGCACTACACAGCCAGGTGCTGTACCTCCTCCCTGTAGGCTGTGTCATCGTTCTCGCTGATGAGGCCAATCACCATGATGTCGTCTGCAAACTTGATGATGGTGTTGGAGCCATGCACAGGCCTGCAGTCGTGGGTGAAAAGGAAGTAGAGGAATGGGCTCAGCACACAGCCCTGTGGTACACCGGTGTTGAGGATAATGGAGGAGCAGGTGTCATCTGACCTAACATGCTGAGGCCTGTTGGTCACAAAGTCCAGAATTCAGTTGCAGAGGGAGGTGCTGATGCCCAGGTCTCCAAGTTTGGTGGTTAAATAAATAAACTGCCGGAAGAAAAAAGTCACCAGAAACTAAAAATGTAAGCAAATGTCACTAAAAAGCGGGTCCTTTTCCCCCCCAGGGATCATGTAAAAAGGTAACTTCCATCTTTTCTGCAGCTGTGGAAGAAAATTAAGCCTTGAAAACAGTTTCAAACAATTCCTAGAGGTGTCGCAACTTTTGTTGATGACTTATGACAACAAAGGTGGTGTTAGAAAAGACCGTTTTTCACCCTCTGAAGCATTATTTGGAGAAAGGAAATCAACAAAGAAAGTTAGACCTTTTCAGTGTTTCATCCTATAACAGGGTGAAGAGCCAAAAATACACCTCCAGGCTGTGCAAAAGAACAAAACAAGATGGTCTGTGGAATAAAATGGTAGCATATCATCCAGACTTTCCACATGAAGAATGAAAGCAAAGCAACCTACCAGTAGGAATTTCTGGACAGTATTTGATTTCAGTTGTAGAAAGAATGACAAGTACTGTATGGTTATTGGATTACACCAATAACAACTGGAAACATGGAGGTCATCCCAAACATTTGACAGGTACTATAAGTGATGAGCATGTTAAATTAAGTGGGTGTAATCAATAAATAGAAAGATAACTGCTCAAATGCTTGCTTAAAACAGTAAGGAAACAGTTGTGAGGAAGGCATGAAGGTAGAAGGCGTCAGCACCGAGTATAATGTCCTGGGACTTTGGAGTTAACTTGACCATTGTGGTTTATGCAACCAGTTGGCCTTTTCATCTCTAAAATCCAACTTTTAATCAGCCCCAACACAGAAATGGACTATACTTATAAGAGATTTGTCTTTAATAGACAATGGCACTTGCATACCATTGGCATGGACCCTTAAGCTATATTGACCTCTTTGACCTGCTCTACCTACTGAACAACAGCCGACTCACAAGGGCTTCACAGTGGAACATTCTCTGTTTTACTGCAAGCATCGGGCTTGCAGGGTTTGGGTAATGTTCAACAAATTAAATGTACTTTTTAAAGACCTTTTTAATACTACACTGAATGCAGTTCAATGGTCATGTCCTGAGATACTGCATTCATAAGAGTGGGACATACAGTATAATACGAATAGCCAGAATAGCCTCTGGCCACAGCTATCACCAGCACAGAGACATTAAAAAAAATAGATGAGCAGATTATCAAATTAAAAATAAATGTTTAATTTAATGTTAATTTCAGTTTTTGTAAAATTAATTTGTTAGTTAAATTCAATGCTTCAAATTATTCCCCACTATACAGGTGTCCAATTTTGACAAACGTCAGGCCTGTTTAATTAATAAATATTGCCACATAGATGTCACTATATGCTTTAGGCATGAAGTCTTCAAGTCTGAAAGAACAGTGCAAACAGCTCATGATCATTACTTCAGTATCAGCCACAGTCAGAATACATCACCCAGTATCTATGAAACTAAGTGAGGAGAACAGTTAAGTAATGAATGCAACAACCAAGTACAAAACATGGTGTGCAAAAGATATTACTAATTCTTGTGTTGTGACACAGGGTGAGAATTTACACAGGGGTCTTATTCAAAGTTGTTTGTCCAACCACTTCATTAAATCCTGTCATTTCTCCTCTACTGTGTCCTCCACAATGAGGTCAGAGATCCACATTCAAGACTCAAATGACATGTCTCTGACCACTACATTACTCTGCTGCCCTTTGCTTCTTACTGCTTTTCTTTGTTGACAGACAACTGCATGTTTTTTTTGGGTGGATCTATATTCATACTAGCTACACTTTGGATTGGCTGGTAAAATAGTCAAAGCTGTTGTTGGACTCTCAGATAAAGCAGCCCATGGTGAAAGCAGGGAGAGAGTAGGTGCACATGAGGAAGAGGAGCAGAGGAGGTGGAGGAGTACCTTCAGATAGCTAACTGGCAGCTTGGAAACAGAAGAGTGAGATGTTGTTTAATGTCTAATACAAGGAGGGAGGAAGAGAGAAAGGAAAACGGTAGAGACACATTTACACAGAATGTACGGTTTACAGAGCATCCCCTCATCATTACACCTTCCTGTTTTTTGCTGGTCTCTCATACTATCCCTAACCAAGCCCCAGTTTTTTTTGCTCTTTTCATGTCAGCCTGGGGTGTGAAAATGTAAAGGAAACTAAGGGACAGTTGAATTTCACTTGAAGTTGCAATGTGTTTAACCAAAATACCTAAAGGTATGTGTTCATCAGCAACTGTGTGGGGCACTAGTGAGCAAACTGCCCCTTTCAAAGCCACACAGGTACAAGACTGTGGGGGGCATGACACTGTCTGAAGAGGGTACAGAGGAGCAGGTTAGTTGAACATGCAAATGTAGCCCTTTGCAAAAACAGAGGCAGCTGTTAGTTCCTAAATCGCACCATTAAGCCAAATGTTATCAATGTATGGGGTCTTGTTCCTGACACGTGACAATCCAACCAGTCTGGATTTAGCCCCACAAATCAAAATTCAAGTAAGACCAGTCTGTAGTGTTAAGTTTAAAAACTGCATCTAATTCAAACTGAAGTCTGGTGCCCACTCATCTTCACACCTTCTACCTGACCTAGGAATGAAGCAGCAAGAGCCAGCAAGGAAAACCACACAGAAGAAGCAACACTGATATCCAGACTGATGAACATGGGGGGGAACAACATAAACGCAAACAACGGCGGGACATGAATTAAAGCAGCTGGTTTGGTTTTTGAGATTATCAGCATTACTGGGGATTACATCGAGGTTGATGGCAGGGAAATGAGGCAGGAAAAGAGCTGGCAAATGAGAGCATTTCACAGAATGAGAACAGCGAAGCAGAAAGAAGCCATGCCAGCAGTGAACCCCACAGGCAACTCTCTGAATCTCAGTCAATTACAGGTTTCAGCCTTGAAGCCTTGTAGCTTGTTCACACAGTACATTTTATTCTTTTATTCTGATCAATGTGGAGTTTGCAATTGAGCTAAGCATCTACAGTGTTAAAAGATAACCTGATAATTAAGAGTCTTCATCTAACACAAATTAGGTTTTACCATGGCATCTTGTGCTGCAAAAACTAATTCACCGGCCCAATTGTATTTTAAAAGATCCAATTCAAAAACCTGATTCTGAAGTACACTGGTTCAAATGTGAGTGCTGTAGCTCCAGTCCAATAAGTTGCATTATATGTTTTTAATTTAGACAGTGAAAAGATTTTTTTTCTACATATAACTGCACTGCTGTAGGGAGAGTTAAGCTCCAGTGTAAGCTGGGGTCATGTCAATAACTTGTTTATAAATATGAAAAAAAAAAAAAAATCTATCATTTTATTTGTGTGATTAAGAAATCAGTCTTTCTAGCGCTCTGCACTGCCCATTGGTCTACAGTAAACAGATCTAAATACAGTATTTATTTTTTACTGCTAGAGCAGAGCCAAACCAATATTAATAAGAAACTGAGCTGTGATATAACAAAGAGGAAAAGTGTACCTTCTTGTTGAAGGCCCAGATCTTGTCCCACTCCATGTTCACCACAGACCGCGATCCGCCCTAGGAGGAGCAGGATAAAAGAAAAGCAAACCAATACAATATTTTTTAAAACTCTTTTGCATTTTATGAAAATTATATAAAACATTTTGATGGAAGTGTATGTTGACACCATGACTTCCTGTTAGCACAGACTATAGCATCCTGTTTTTAAGAGATTTTTAATACATTTTTTTAAGTATTAAAGAACTAAAACAAGATCTGTAAACAACTGGGCTATAATTCTGGCTTAATTTTTCAGGCTAACCTGCTGCTATCAGGGTAAAATACCTAACTGGGTTCTTGTAATGCAGTTTAGGGACTGATAACAATGGATGAAGTTACAGTCAGTATCTTGCACTCACACTTTAAATGAAGGAATCTTCTATTGTGCCTTTTTGTTCCTAGTATCTCAAGATCTGGATTGGTTCTTTTTTAGGGTACCAACTTTTATTTTGTTTTACAGTTTAATATGTATAGATTGGCATAATTACCATGGATCTACATCAGAATTATTTCTCAGTGACCTGCATGATCCCATAAAAAAAAAGACAATTATATAAACATTTTTCTCATTTAAGAATAAAGTTGCCCCAGAAAGGACAATGGCATTGTTGCAATATTCTAAAGCTTTCGGTTTTACTTTAAAACCATCATCAGGAGCAGGCAAAGGTGACAAGGAAACAAAAAGCAATAAATACCAGAATTCTTTCATTATACAGCATCTCCAAGTAATCAAGCCAAATGTATCTGAAAATGACTTCATGTCTGGGGTTCTCTCTAAAACATTTTAATCATAATCCACTATCTGTTAATAAGCTGCATTTCTGAAGAACTGGTCTTAAACCATCAGATAAATTTTAAACCAACTTTGAAGAACCAAATCTAGAAACAGACGCCAACCCATGCCCAGCCGACTTTGCACAATAAGAGCAGGCTGAACTTTGTTTCAAAAGAGATACTGCATCCTCCTTCCCATCTCTACTGGCTGACAGACATACCTGGGCTGCTATGAACTGTTTCAGACCCTCCACAGTCATTCCTCTCCTCAGAACTCCTCTGACAGTGGGGAAGCGAGGGTCATCCCTGGAGCACAAAATGAAAAAGAGTCCAAACAGAGCATGGGGGAGCAGAGAGGAAAAAAGTCAAAGAAAAAGAAAAGAATAACAAGGAAACTCCTCTAAACCTACCATCCATCGACATATCCCTGATCAACAAACCAAGTGAGCTTCCTCTTGGACAACACAGTGTTGTTGAGGTTGAGTCTGGCATACTCCCAGATGTAGGGCTTCCTAATGCACAGGGCATCAATAATCCAGTAGAACTGCTGGTCACGATCGTGGTACTCAGTAGTCCGAAGAGCATGGGTCACACCCTCCAAGCTGTCCACAATGGGGCAGGCAAAATCATATGTTGGGTAAACTCTGGAAGAGAAGACACAGATCATTTTGACAATTAATATTGTACTACATTTCAAATACTGGTTGAAAATACTTCAGAAATTAAAGCATAAACTGTTGTTGTTTTGTTTTTAAATAAATTAGATTAATAAGTTAACTACTTGTAGGTGCTTCCAGTACGAGGGTGGGGAGTGTTCTTGCAGCGGTAGAGGGTGGGGTCTCTCAGGCAGCCGTTGTTAGAGTTCATGTCAATCTTGGCCCTCATGCAGCAGGTCTGACCATACTCAGTCCCAGCTTTCATCTCCATCCACATCTTCATGTTCTGCTCCACCGCTACAGAAGAGAGACAGACGTGGCAAAAATATAGCTTCAAAAGGTTCCGAAATTTGCATATTGTACTCCCAGTATTCACTGTGACTGGTAATCATGTCATATGTCCCTGGTCTCCCTTACTGTTATTTCTGCATTTGGACTCAATGCGCTGCTCCCTCTCCTGCTTCATTTGCTCAGGAGGGGTGTTGTCAATGTATGCCTTGCCCTCAGCAAGCAGCTGTTCAGCCATTCGCATTATGGTGGGAAAGTGGTCACTTGTATAGGTGAACTGGTCTGGACGGATCTGGAGCATGGCAACATCTTCCAGGATCACCTGAGAAGAAGCAGAGGCATGTAGGTATAAAAGGAAACTCATGTTTTCGGCACTACTACTTTCAGTTTTTTACAGGTGGTTTGGAAATGGTGACCAGTTTTCACAATTATGTTTCTCCATTTGCACTGAGACTTTAAACATTTAACCTTCTCAAAGTCCTCCTTTTCCTTTTCAGGGTTGGTGTCATCGAAGCGCATGATGAGCTTGCCTTTAAATGTGACCTGGTAGTACTGGTTGAGCAGAGCAGCCTTGGCATGGCCAATATGCAGGTATCTAGTGAGGGAAAGACAGAAAAAAGTCCCTGTTAAAGGGCAAAACTACCAATTTACACTTGCAGAGATAATGGTTGTTTAAAATTGAGATCATGCCTTACCCACTGGCCTCAGGAGGGAATCGAACCACCACCTTTCCCATCTCAGCATCTGGCAATTCCACAAACTTTCCAACATCCTGCTTCTTCTCATTCAACTGTCAAACAGAGACAAAACCTGTCAGGAATACAAGACACCTGCACTCATTTTGAAGCTATTATATTACTTCTTCTCATAGCAAGCTCCAGTGAAGTCAAAAGTCTCAATCCCCTGATCACAACGCTCACCCTTACTTCACAAGTCAAGTTCAAGTCATTTTATTTGTAAATGTTGGCAAATTTGGCTTGCAGTAAAACAGTCATAGTAACACACCCACAGAAAAATACAATGTAAGTGCCATACTACAAAGTACAAAGGTGCAAAATGCTCCACAACTGCATCATCACTTTGGACCTTCAGTGTACAAATGAGGATAATGACACATAAAAATCCATTATTTAGCACCATTCCTATGACTTATTCATACGAATGATAGCTGCTGGGACAAAGCTATTTCTATACCAGTTCGTTATCACTCAAAAATGAGCCAGATAAACCCTGTGTCTAGTATACAAGGCTGCCATGTCAGATTGTGACTCTGTACCTAACTTACTAGCCCACCTGACAATATGATTCAGAGAATTTATGCTTTACAAAGAAAAGAAACCAAACCATGACACTAAAGAAAAAGACAAACTCAATTCTACAAAACAACAATAAAATCAAATCATCATAGTTTTGTCAGTATGAAAATGGGACAGTCTTCTTAAGCACACAGCCTCACAGTTTACCTCAAATTTCAGTTCAGATCAACTTGATGACCTTACAGGAACAAACACTCTCATTCTGCTAATGTTTTAAAAAAAGTTTGGCAAGGCCTCTTGGTAGTGACTAACATTACACTTACATTAGATTTGCTTACTGGAGCTTTCTTACTGGCATATTTATTGCCCACAGCAGTGAAGGGAACCTGTGAGCTCAGGAAAGAGAACCAGCGACTGACATGGGCAAAGGATTTTCCCTGGCTTGCCCAATCCTCATGACCTGCAGAGAAACAACCATAACATGTAGTGCTTCATCTGTTTTATTACAAAGACCCCACAGTGAAAGAAACAAAGAAAAAAAAACACAGGTAGAAATTCAAACTGTTACACTGTGGATAGAACTGACCTTTGAGGGCAGCCCAGATAGACAGGTCAGCTAGAGTGAGGGCATGTCCAACCAGGAGGAAAGAGCCTTATCCAGTTCATTCAGTGCCAAGTTCAAATCAGCCTGACAACACAGTCGCTGAGCACTGAACTCCAACCAGTGATCAATCTGCAGATGTCAGACAGCATTTCAAATGAATAACAAGAACCTCAATCTGTTAAAAAAAAAAAAATCTCACACACACAAAATAAACATACGAACCTCAGTCTGCTCCATCATGTTGGCTCCATAGAGGCCAAGAGCAGGAGCCACCCGAGCCAAGTACCGACTGATAGAGTTGCCATCAGTGAACTGGATCGCACTGAGGGAAACACAGAGAGAATTGATAATAAAAACATTAAAGCAATAACCAGCCTCTAACCCTATAGCATATGTACATGCATTTTCTATACACTGTCACTTAGTTGTCTGGTTCCAGATTGCATGCTTGAGCTTGAAATTTAATGAAACAATTGTGTCACATACTCTGAGATGTGAAGCTGGGTGTCTTTGCCTTCCTCTACCGACACTTGCACACTGCCCTTCAAATGCTCTGCTGCCAGAAGTGCCCCTACAGGACAGAGGAGAAAATTTATGTTAGCGTGTGCTGTGATTCTGGGTAAACATACTGTAGCTCAACAGCCTTAACCAGAAATTGAAATTCAGAGTCTATGATTTTCATATGACTAATGTTTGAAATGAAGCAAGGGTTTATGGTCCAATCCGAAAATACTTTTGCATCTCCTACTTTCTATTCGTCTTATGCATATACACATCCCACTTTCCAGTAATGGTACTGGTGCTCCACGTTTCAAGATGCTTGCATCAGCCTGCTGCCCCCAGTGTTACCTCACAGAGGCGCTGTTTGGACACGGTCAATGCTAATGTTAGGCATTAGACTGGATTATCATAGTACAAATAATGCACTGGCACACTAACCCTTGGAAAGCCATCCAGACAATACACGCCACACGCCACATATTAATACAATATACCGAACTATAGGTACATTTTAGCAACGTGTAAGTTAACTCGCTTAATCCTAAACCAACACACCCAAGCTAACCAGTGTGAGCTAATGTCAGCGTGTCAACTCATTCAATATGAACGCCCCTTTGAAGTCGATGATTTGTCCATGTGTCATTCCAAGTTCATAAAGTCAGTTTGCATATTAATTAACTATGTTATGTTCTCACAATGAAAGTTTAACGTGAACGAGTCATGTGTAAGGTGGGCGGAAAACTTAACGAACTGTCCACAAGTTGAGGCTTTTACAAGTGCCACGACGGCAAGATAGCGTTAGCTTGTTGTAGACCCAGTGCTGAAGACTCACGAGTCTCCGTAAAATAACGTTAGATAACCCTACACTCCAACATTTAAACGTATATGGACATAACGTCCAATCAATTCATATATGGGTCAAGTTACGAGAATTAATATTTTGCAAAATAACAAATCGTGGCATTTGGGATGCTCCCTGCACCTGCTACCCAATTTAGCTGGCTTCCAGCATACAAAATAATAACTTGCTGTTTATTTACTCAAATTGCCCTAATGCCTACATGGACTATATGTGTCCTTTTTTCAATAGTTTTGCTAGGATGACACGATCACGCTACAGCTGTCACTGAACGTCTGCATGCACAGCACACACTCATTGGAGCATTTGTTCAGCAATCACAGGCAGAAACTTACCTAGAGGCGGATTGCTTGTGTTGATGGTTAAGTTTAATGACATACTTTGAAATCCTTTAGAAACACACGTAGTGAAGCTTTTTCTTTGTACACTCCACAAACCGGCGACCACCACAGAAAAAAATTATTCTTTCTTTTTCTTCTTCCTCTGTAGTTTTTTTTCACGGTTTGCATGCCAACTTAAGGTGCATTACCGCCACCTACTGAGCTGCAGTGTGGATGAAAAAAAAAACCCACTTATTTTGTTTAATGGCGGTTAATCAACAACTTGGAGGTGTAATAATGTCACCGACTGTACAGTTATAAATGAATATAAACTAGGACAAAAGATTGCTGTTGTTTCAATGCTGCAAAAACACAAAAACGTAAGGTCTTTAAACAGAATTTGACAGCGGGACCCTTCTCAAGACATGCTCTCAAAATCAGGTTTTAAATCATGACCCACTTTAAGTCAATTATTGTGTCAGCAGATACTGTGCTTTACTGGTGCACACTCTAAAATGTTTTTAAATAAAGCAGCACAAACCAACAATAAACACTTTCAAGACCTCTGGATTTATGCGGTTGCATGAAAAGTTTTTGCTCTGCACAACTGACCTTGAATAGAACAACTCTAAAGGCCTCTCTTTATATTAGGCGTTAAAGTGGTTTCACAGGTTCAAAGAAAAATCCTCAGCTTCTGAACTTGAATCACATCTAACTTTGTAACACAGTCAAGTCATGTTTCAGTTGACTGTTGATTATAGAGTAATAATATAGAATCAAGGTAATAAAGCAGCAGGACCAAATTCCATCTTATTTACCAGTCAAACATACAGTGTGAACTGCTGGCAGGAAGAAGCTTCCTGGAAGAGTGAGTTAAAATGCTCATTGGCATGACTGCCACACTAACACTAACTTTATAGATGTTGGAACAGCTGCACAAACTTTTATTTATTCTAAAGGCTTTGTGGTGAAGAACGTTCATGGCTGAACACCACATTATAGCAGTCTAACACAGTACAAAATGAACACAATTAAAGATTAGACTGTAGCAAGAACACACCCTTTACTTAAATCTTTATATAAAATCCATAAACTATCAGTGTCATCATGTTGAGACTAAAGAGTGATGTCCACAGGCCTGGACAACAGCACTTCTGTCTCAGTCAGATAGATCAAAAACTCTTGGAGGAACTGGAAAAAGAAAAGCTGTCACAACAATCCAGCAGGCAGAAGGACAAAAATCCTGCAAAATTTATATATGTACCTGCACGAACTCTTCTTCATTCTTTGAGAAAGGAAGGTCATAGTGTGGGCCTTTAAATGCAGAGGCAAGTACATTTACTGAAGTACTGTATAAATACAGATTTAAGGTATTTGAACTTTACTTGAGTGTTTCCATTTTCTGATACTTCAACTTTGCTAGAGGGAGAAGGAATGCTATGAGGAACAGAGTGGGAGGAGTTGGAGCCTCGTGCAAGCCCAATCTTAACAGTGCATTCCTTTTTTCTTCTTTTTCGTTTTCATTTTGTTGTTGTTGTTCTTCTTCTTTTTAATGGCGACAGGCAACCAGCTTTAGGTGCATTACCACCACCTTCCAGACTGGAGTGTGAATCAGAACGGCCCCTACCTACTACTATAACAAAATAACACCACTCAGTTCACTTTATATTATCTTGTGTAACCCCGTGCTCTCTAAAAACCTAAATAAGTGCTCTGTATCCTATATCCCCTGACCTTTGTCCCAAAAACTCCGGTAAACTATAGTTCATTCCACCTCTTAAAACTGTATTTTTTGAATAATTCCCTCTCCTGCCTGAACCTGGGACAATTCATTAGAACATGTTCCACAGTTCCTTGTACCCTACACATTTCACATTCCCCTGTGGTATGCTTCTTGATTTTCTTCAATGTACTTTTTAAACCAGTGTGCCCAAATCTCAGTCTTGATACCATATCTTCCTCCTTCCTATTTCCAGTACTTCCTCTCATTTCTCCTACTTTCCTTTGAATATTATATTATATTATATTTATATGGCAGCATGGTGGCGCAGTGGTTAGCACCATTGGCTCACAGCGAGAAGGTTCTGGGTTCGGGCCCCACCCAGGACCTTTCTGTGTGGAGTTTGCATGTTCTCCCCATGCTTGCGTGGGTTCTCTCCAGGTACTCTGGCTTCCTCCCACAGTCCAAAGACATGCAGCTTAGGTTGACTGGTGTCTCTAAATTATATTATGAACCGACCCTTGTCATCTTTATCCCACAGTTCTTGCCATATCACTTTCAGTTTCCTTTTAATTTAATTATTATAACTTACTTCCACACATACCCCTCTTTTTTTAAGCGCAGCTTTTGAAAATTCATCTGCTAGTTCATCTGTGTTCATGTTATATCGTTTATGTGTATTTAGAGCAGTTAACAATTTAGAGCCCAGGTCTGGAGATCTGCTCTGGAAAGAAGAGGAATGAAAGTCGTGGTAAGACAGAATACATGTGTATGAACGAGAGGGAGGGAAGTGGAACAGTGAGTTTACAGGGGGCTGAGGTCAAGAAGGTGCAGGAGTTTAAGTATTTGGGGTCAACAGTCCAGTGTGATGGGGAGTGTGGGAAAGAGGTGAAGAGGCGAGTGCAGGCAGGTTGGAGTGGGTGGAGAAAGCTGTCAGGAGTGTTGTGTGACAGAAGAGTGGCAGCAAGAATCAAAGGAGGCGAAAGCCAGATTGACACTTTTCTAAAATGCTATTATTTTCCAGAACAGCATGAAGATGCCTGGAAACATTTTTTTCAACCATCTTGGCAATAAAAGACAGTATGGAGATGATAACTATCTAAAAGAATGAGATGAGGCCCAGGTTTCTTCAGACCTTGTTGAACACAGGTGGACATCAAATAATGTAGGACAAAGCCAGTAGACAGAGAGCTGTCCAGCATTATAAGCATGGCCACAATCCATTATTTGAAACAAATACTTAATAGGAATGATTTCAAGGAATGGGTGAACACCATCTGAAAACAAAGGATTTTACTTTATGTCATGTTCTTATTGAGTCCACTTTTTCAGCAAAGTGCAATAAGAACATTTCACAGTCAGTTACACAACTAACCAAGGCACAACGAAAGGTTGGATTAACTAGTTTATGAGCAGTTTGGAAAAAAAATCTGGGGTTATGGTGAGAGTGATAGAAATAAGTTCAAGCATCCTTCACCATCTTATTAGAAAATAAATAGCAGCTCTTTCATGGCCATAAAATGGATCTGGAGACTAGATTTCTTCCTTCTGTGTTCCCCCATTGATTGCATATAATGATGGACAGCTTGACAGGTCCTAGAAGTGAAGCCACCACAAATCTTTTGCCCCCAGAGGCTGGTTAAGGTATAGGTTATTAATCCCACTTCCTCCATGTTACAAGGGAGGACAGATGGTGGATAACACAGATTATTCGCTGTGGCGACCCCTAACGGGAACAGCCGAAAGACGAAGAAGAAGAACAATTTAGACCCCAAAGCAGCGGAACTTCAAAAAGGCAAAGTTTCGACCCGGACTCGTATTCCCATTGCACCGTTGATTGTATGAAGTTTGTTTAGCGGTGAATTGATAACAGCTTCTGTATTCCCAACACCATTAACCTGCGCTGTCTGCAGCTCACTTGTCTGACTCGGTAAAGCAAATAACGCATTCGGCTAGTTCATTATTTAGGCTATAATTAATAGTCTGATATCATCTTATTGTTTCTATTAGTTACTTATTGAACTACTTGCACGCTCTGTATTGTTTGTATATTTTTTGCAGATTTGTTCCTTAATCCTAAACAAGATATCTTGTTTTCGATGCAATTTTTGTGTGTAGTTAATTTGTATTTATGTATTTTTGTAAATTTTGTGTCATGATTAAAATCCTGTTCATGTTTTATATTTGGACTTTTGCTCAAGACTGTGTATCTTCTTTGATGATATTTATTTGACCATATAAGTCTGAGCTGAGCTCCTAGCTGCAAACCACCATTCAGAATGAAATCTACAGTAGGTTACAGCTATGAAAAGTAATTGTAAGCTAATTACTAAAATACGTTACGTGACTGGTGGCTCAGCCTCCGGCCCCCATCCCCCATCCTGCTGCTTAACTGACATTTGAATTCATTATCTTTGGTCAGGCATGTCTCAGGACAGTCGGCATGGCAAGTGGACCATCTCCAGCAGTGATGATGACGATCTTCCTCCTTCCGGGATCACAACACCTAAGAAGCACCGACCTACTGAATCCAAGCACAGCTCCCATCTGTCTGCCTCTCCCCTTAGCCTCCAATTAGAATCAGTATCAGCCACTGAAGAGGTCAAACCAGAACCAACTAAACCTCCAGTATCCTCACTTGTCACTGGCTCTGAGGCCAGACAGACAGCTGCGGTGAACCAGTTAAATCCAGTGAATAATGAAGCTAGTCCTGTATTAGCTGGAATGCAGAAGAAAGAGGTGTCAGGCAGTTCAGGCTGGGCTCTCTCAGACAGTGATGATGATGATGCAAATGAAAAGAAGAAGATCCTCAGTAATTTACCAGAAGGGGCACCTTCAAGCCCCAAAGCTAAGAAAGCGAAGGTGGAGAGTGAGAGCCCTCCCAGTCCCCATGGCCGACACTACTATATTGACGAGTCTGAGGACTTCTTTGAGTCCAGTATTCCTTGTCTTGATGACATCTACAGGTTTCACCTCACCAAAGTGACAGGTCTGGACAGGAAATACAACAGTGGAGCTCTGCACATCAGAGGTGAGAGGAGTTGACTTTAACCAAGTTTGACATTTCAAGAGAAAAACAAATCAACCATTTAGAGCCACTGTCAAAGAAGAAGGTTATCAGTTTGAGTGTTTATGTTGAAAGCTTCTGAGTCAAATCTCTGTCATCATTTAATGCTAACAATGACATGGTTCCCTCTTGGTTTTTGATTTTATCAAAGGGCAGCAGTGTGACCTCATGACACCATCTAGTAAAATGAAAGTTTTAATGAGTTTTTAATTCCCCATGACTGCTGATTTCCCTGTTTGAAATCAGAGGAGTAACGCTACCACCATTTGTCACAGTCATTCTTTTATAAATTACTTGTGTCTAGTCATCTTTACTGTTTTTACTTTTATCTAGACATTCTCTCCCCATTATTCGGGACCCTGAAAGAATCTGTTCAGGTAAATAACCATGTAGACTGCA